ATTCGGGAGGGCAGCCTGCAGCTGCTGTTGCACCATCCCTACGTCTGCGGGATGAGGGAAATGATCATTCACCCGAACCACTACTACATGATCTTTGAGTACGTCAATGGAGGTCAGATGCTGGACTATATCATCTCTCACGGCAGGCTCCGCGAGAGGGCGGCACGCAAGTTCGCCAGACAAATTGGCAGTGCTCTGGAATTCTGTCATCGTAATTCTGTGGTCCACAGAGGTGAGTCGTGGAATCTTGTTGCCCCCGCTTCCCACCTTACTCAGCACAAGCTCTTGCCTGCAGATCTCAAAATCGAGAACATCCTCATCTCAAAGACCGGAAACATCAAGATCATCGATTTTGGGCTCTCAAATCTCTTCTCACCTCACTCGCACCTGTCAACGTTCTGTGGCTCGCTGTACTTCGCAGCACCAGAGCTCTTGAATGCCAAGGTGTATACAGGGCCAGAAGTCGATGTTTGGAGCTTCGGCATCGTCCTGTACGTTCTTGTCTGCGGCAAAGTGCCCTTCGATGACCAGAGCATGCCCGCATTGCACGCCAAGATCAAGCGGGGTCAGGTCGAATACCCAGCCTGGCTGAGTGGAGGTGAGCCAATGTGGAGTAGGCGGCGGCGAAAAGCTTCGTACTAAATCGATGGCCTTTCCACTTCAGAGTGCAAGCACATCTTGTCAAGGATGCTGGTCACCAATCCAAATCAGCGCGCGACTCTGCCCGAAATCCTAGCCCATCCCTGGATGGTCAAGGGGTATGATGGCCCGCCAAACGCGCACCTTCCCAATAGGCAGCCGCTTAGGCCAGGCCAGCTGGACCCAGAGGTGCTTCAAGGCATGACTGGCTTCGAATTTGGGGCTCCAGACGACATCGAAGCTCGACTGACAGAAGTTCTTACCAGCGAAAGCTATCAGACGGTCCTGCAAGCGTGGGAGGTCAAGCACGGGATTTCGAGGAGCTCTTCCGGCGCTCAGATAGCATCGAACGGGACGAGCACGCCTGCCGATGCGCCGCTTGGCAGGGCGTCAACCAGGGGCAGCGTTGACTCAAAGTCAAAGACGGGAAGCAAGCGATTTAGCGGCATAGACTTTTACCGAAAGAAGATCAACGTCTTCGGCAGTGGCGCAAGCAAAGATGATCCAGGCTCTAATGGCATCCTCAATGGTGCTACAAATCCCAATGCGACATGGCCCGGGGCTGGTAAGGAGCCTTTGGACCCCACGCGTGGCTTCCATCCCCTTATTTCTATCTATTATCTTGTGTCGGAGAAGATGGACCGCGAACGGCTGTACGGACATTCGTTCTTTGCCAGCTCAAATGTTTCGCTCAACGGAACGCAGACTGGTCCCTCGATTAGACCGCCATCTATAGTCACAAGCTCAAGCCGGGTGGGCACGTCCATGCCTACTGCTGCCGACATTCCACAAGAAGCTCTCCGCGTGCCGGAGCAATCGCACGTCTCGGCGAATCGTAAGGAAAGCCCAGGCGTCCCTGTCGATCTCCCTGCCCCACCTGCAAGCGCTCGCTCGACAGGCTCGACACCAGCCACACCCACTCCAGTCTTCGAGTCGCGCCAAAAGAGTCAGCCTATGCCGGGGATGACTGGTCCTCCAAGACCGCGGGCACAGGGCAACGAATTTGAAGCCGCTTTGCGCGAGAAGGGCTTTGCAGCACCGACTTGGTCTGCTGCGACAGCTCCTGGAAGCAAGAGGTCCGAACCACCCGCGAGCATTGCGGGCGGCGCTGTCTTTGCTGGAGCCTCTGTGCGGCCAAGTAGTACTGCTCCAGCACAGGTCTCGAACCACAAACGCAGCATCAGCCTGAGCGGCAAACGCGCGCCCACTGTCGGAAGAAGCTCTGATCTAGCGCCAGCGCCCTTGGAAAAGGACATCCCCGTGAGCGCGCCCAGAACTGTGCGCAAGGACGCGGCTCTCAACACTCCGGATAAGCGCAAGACATACCATGGTGCGCTGGCTGATCACCAGGATCAATCAGCCTCTCTGGAGAGCGAGGTCCTTGCGAGCCCAGCAGACAACAGCGCTCTCCCGACCCCGAACAGCGCAGGAAGCACAAGCCTGGTGAGAAGATTCGGCTCCTTGCTAGGTAGATCACCCTCGACACCTCTGGACGTCGACAAGCGCCGCCAGCAACGCATGAGTACGGGGACCATGTCCCTGTCCAGTAGCCCTACCAACCGGCGTGGAAGCATACAGGTTGGCAGCGGACTGACAGGTGTCGCAGAGAATGGAGCAGAGTCGGCGGAGGCAGATCAGAACGCGCCGAGCTCAGGCGTCAGTTCCAAGAGAAGGTCTAATCTAAACGAAACAGGTACTGCAAGCCCACAATCGATAGGTCGCACTGCAGGAGGCAAGGCTCTTGCGCCGAGCAAGGGTCGTCCCAGCACTCCGGGCTCGCCATTCGGAGGCTTGATGTCCGCCGAGCCTGCTTCCGCGCCTGCCGCTCAGAGCAATGGTGCTGATTCATCGTGGCAGGGCGCTGCGCACCCTTCCCATCTTGGAGCTATACCACAAAGTCGCAGAGAGTCTGCAGTGCGATCCGCAACTCTCAATGCCGGTCACTCTGTGAGCGCGACCAAGGACGCTTCGCCAGCTGTCACTGCAGCGGTGCGCACAGAGACGGAAGGCGAGCGAGAAACATCGATCTCCAAGCCAGTCTTCTTGAAAGGTCTCTTTAGCGTGCAGACCACGTCGACCAGACCGCGAAGGGAGATACACGCCGGCCTCATCCGAGTCTTTGATCGAATTGGCGTGCAGTATCGAGAGATCAAGGGAGGCTACGAGTGCGTACATCTGCCTAGTCTGGACTTTTCAGGTGTAGGCGGCACCCCTACGTCTCTTCCAGAGGGTCAAGGTAACGTGCGAATTCCAATTACTCAAGGTGTTTCTTCTCACGGAGTAGTGGAGAACATGGACGACAGTGAGCATATACGTCCGGGAGGTCCAAGGCGAAAGCAGAGTCGCATCTCATTCGTCTCGGGCAAGACGAGACTGAGTAAACGCGGCGAGGGTTCCCAAGCAGACTCTGCGAGCATTCACTCTACGCGAGAAGGCGAAGTGCGGAGCCCCGTTACTTCTCGCAGTAGAGCGAGCTCCATGACGGCCACTACGCTGGAAGCTGCATTGGAAGCAAATGCGAACAGTCCCACAGTCGAGCGTCAGCTGGGTCGTCAACGCACAGACTCTCTCAGCGGAAGTGTCGCGCTTAATCCTGGCAGCACTTCACGAGAAGCAGCTGCCACGCCTGTCCCAACGACGTCCGGCCCGCCACCCGTGCCTGCAAAGGCGATGGATCAGGCGACCGCGCATGATCTCGCCGTTCGATTTGAAATTTTCGTAGTCAAGGTGCCGCTGCTGCTAGGTGTCAATGGACTGCAATTCCGACGAGTGGCCGGCAATCCTTGGCAGTACTCAATGCTGGCTCGCCGCGTCCTCCAGGAGCTCAAGCTATGAGCCTCAATGCGTCACCATCGCTTCCACCCACAATTCTCTTCTTCACTGCTTTCTCCGGCAAGGCTTTGACCGGATGTACTTACTTACGCTTCTGTGTCTTGGTGCATTTCAGTCCATCTATGCGTCATCATCCACGTCTGCGCTCACGCTGCGCTTCCGCCCTTGTCACACCGCCATACTCAAACCCCGCATCCTGCGGCTGGCCTTCCATGCTCACCGCTGGGCTCTTCTACATTGTCAGATGTTAGCCGTCGTGTCCTTCTATACACTTCTCTTCGCTCATACGCAATCGGAACCAATGTGATATGTGTCATTGAGGCTGTGTTGACCGCACACTTGTAGATGATAGTCGATGCTTTCTGATCGCTCAACACTTTGCATGAAATCGAAATTCCAGAGCGGTGGGTTGAATCGTGGTACCCAGTCCAGGTAGAGGGTTTGCTGCATGCTGGCAGCTGAGTCGCCCCACAGCTACTTCAATCAGATCTGGTCTGGATCCCCGCGCCACTTTGGGCTTGTTGTGAGTTCCTCGATCGTGACGAGTGGGCTCCTTCGAACATCTCGATGATGCCACAACAATTTTTTTCGTATGTCGTCTCTCTAGGTACAGTATATCTGCACAAGGCCCGCCCGCGTGTGCGCGCCTACGAATTCTAGGCATGCGGGCACGGCTTCGGCGAAGATGCGGAGCCGAGAGAGATGCTTTTGAATTTATCATTGCTGTGCGAGGGGTGAGACATGGAGCACATTTGAAAGTGTAGATGAGGTGCAGCCGTCCATTCTATCGACATCATCGAATCACCTACAGTGCGAGTAGCTGGAGAACATGCCTATACTTGCTGTTGCCCCGACGTCATTTGCCTGCGA